TCTTTCCTGCCTAGGCAGGGGGTCGGACTTGATGATCTGTTGAGGTCCCTTCCTACCCTAGCATCTATGAATCTATGAATATACTTTCCAGTTGATGCAGTTTTAGCAGTAGTCTTCTCTGCCTCCTCTTCTACAAGTCAGACAGAGAAGCCATAGGTTCATTTGTACTGTCAGATCTATTTAAAAGTCTTTTGCTCCTTCCTTCTCAGCCAGTCACATCCTTGCCTTTAAATTTCACTTGAAACCCTTCTGTGTGTTGCATTTCACACAAAATCCTACAACTAGTGCAAAAAAATGTACATCATCCGTTCGTAAATATGCAACAGTGAAGACCAAAAATGATTTACGCTGATGTTGATATTGGTGTTTTGGTCATTTCCTTGAAATTGTCTTAAACAAAAACTTAAATGGAGAGTCTATTGTTCTTACCTAAAAGAATCATATTCAATCATCTTGGTGTGTTCAGGGTCAGTGGCTGCAAAAATTTGCTTGATTTCTCTGGAACTGGGTTCTCCAATAGCTTTTAGTTTGTTTAGGATGGTGTTGATGTCAGCCATAGAAAACTGAATGGGGAAAAGAAGAAAAAATGTATTACATAGAAAAAAGTCACTACTTAGTTAATGTACATATGGCATTGTGCAGATTCAGGATGCTATATAACTGCTAAGTATTATCATGGTATTATTTTCTCATTTCAGATACACATAGTATCTTCTTCATGACTCTGAGGGGAAAAAATCAAGTGCTGAGAAAATTTACTCTTTTTTTTTAATGAAAAATTACTGAAATTAAATAAAGGTAATCAGCTGGCATAGCCTTCAGAAGGCTTACATTTTCTTTACTTAATATGATGCTCAATATGTCTTCAATGCAAAGTCAAAGCAGAAACATTGTAAAGCAAAGGTCTAAAAGTCACTTTTATCCTCATATTTCACTACATGCCACCTAGTCCTGAATTAATACATTTAATAAAATTAAAACAAAGCACATGTCACCTTTACCTCTGGTGAACAACCAGTTTCAGGCTACATGCTCAGTCTTATAACATTGTCCCTCACACTGGACTCATCACAGGTTATATTACTAGGATCAATTTCTACCAAAATGCAAGATGAACACTCCTGTCCACCAGTGGTCTTCTTCCTGATTAGACCATTATAATAAATAGACTTAAACATACTTTTGAAACTTTTAAACAGTCAAGTGTCAACCCAATATTCAGTTGTGCTATGTTAAACGCAGGCATGTTTGCTACCCTTAAAAATGTACTGTCAGCAAAGATACATTTGGGGGCTTTGGGGCATGTTGTTAGGGTTTTGGGAGATGGGGGGTTAACAAAAAATAAAAATAATTTAAGAGTCACTGAGTCAAGTTGACAGGTAGTAAGATATGCAATGCTCCATAATATCTGAAGTACAATGAGCAGGCTGAAAATGGCTCCCTCCCATTCAGAGCACAATGCTGTTTTGAGGAGCATAAACTAAAATTAGATGACACTTACATATTAAGGACCTACCTGCAAAAGGCATTCGCCCTAAATCTCAGTTACACTGAGGCCTCTTTACATCACACTAGTTCAAAGCTCTTCTAACAGAGCTGCATAAAGGGATATAAATGTAATGATTGATCATAGCTCCAACTAACTTCCATTCATGGGATTCAGAACCACCTGGATTTATGGCATAAGTGATTGTGGCTGACCATGACAAAACTGTCTCCAATACGTTGTACAACACAACAGTAGCATGTTAGGTGATGGAATACATCAGCTAGCCTGGCAACAAAAGTGTCTTCCAACAAACAATATATTTGTTTAAAATCTGTTTTCTTCCAAAATCATTATTTGTTTGAGTTTGCAAGCACACAATTTGTACCATCCCTCCAACCCCCTGCACCTCCCCACATAGGCAACATGTGGGGGGGCATGTGCCCCTCCTCCCCTGACAGAGCCACCGCCACTGATGCTGCTGGTGGCATCTGCGGGTGCCCCGCCAGACTCAGGAGGCACCAGTCACCCATTCCTCCCCACCAAAAATATTCTAAAAAAATAGAATAAAAAATAAATTGAGCTGAAGATCAGCCCTCTACCAGCTAGAAAAGGATCTCTATCTCTTCAGTAACCTGTCTTCTCTCCAAGGTACTTTTAAATTGCTCCCTACATCACCTCTGAGTTTAAATAGGTATTTAATTCCGAGCTGTTACTCATTACTCCACACGGGGGAATCTGAGCAGAAAGAGGTTAACCCCCTACCTATTAGGTACAGCTTCTGATTTTGTCACTTTTAAGTGCTGTGGCTAGGCTTTCTAAATAGTCTTAGGCTGGTTTTTTTATGATCCTGCATCTGAGTCTATCAGAACTTTGACTTTTATGGGAACAGGATTAACCCAATGTGCACAGAACAGAAGACTTCAGTAGTTTTTCACTTGGACTGTTTCAAAGTTGATGATTTTCCAAGGAGAATTTACTGCCTGCTAGAAAAATATCCTTTCTGAACCTAACTAAAATAGGTAGAGCTTTGTGGGAACAAGAATTTCTCCTTGACAGGAAATTCTGCACCTTAAAATTTTGTTTTTATTCCAAACTTGCAGTTGGGGGAGGGGAGGGGGGAGGGTGTCAAATGTTGAAATTCCCCATGAATTAAATTTGAAAAGAATTTTCATTTTGTAACAATTACATTTTCTTTTTGAAAAAAATTGAAAAGTTTTTTTTTAATTCAGGCTTTACTTAATTTAAAAAGTGATATAAGAGTAAATCAATATGAAACTAACAGCAAAAAGGAATGTTTCCTTAAAATACTTCATCTACTTTGTTTCTAAAACATAATTCCATCAAAATTAAATTCCACGGTCTCCACAAAATGGTATATTCAAACAGAAAAATCACTGTCATGAAAATGTTGACCAGCTTTAAAAATAGGTAGTAATGTAAAAAGTTGTCAAAGGATATGAATGCAAAAGCAATGGTGAGAAAAAAACATTGATTTAAAAAATAGCAAGGTTGAGACTAATCGTAAAACCTTTCTGAAGGTCTATTTTTTCATCTCTATTCATCTCCAACTGAGCCACTGTGAAGAATAAGTATACATAATCCTAACATTCAGTATTCAAATGACATACATAAAACATCCGGCCATCAGTGGAAAACTAAACCTTATTCTCATAATTTCTTTCAAAATCTTAGCTGCAAAAATAATTCAATTCTTTTAAAACAATTAAAATTTGTTTTAAAAGAAGAATTTTATTGTCATTTCTTATTCACTTCCTGTAGATTCTACATTGGTAATATATAAATTTACTCAGCCTGAAAAACTAAGATCTCATTTATTTGCTTAGGAGTTAATCAAATGCAAACAGCTTCAAAGAACATTTATAGTTCAATGGTGCACTGTATATTTTGGAACCTAATTCGGTTTTCATAATACTAGGAGTACACACATCACAGAGGGGAAAAAGATGTAATGTATATAGCTTAACTTTCTTAATTGTAATTTTCAGCCATTACAGCTTTTTAATCACAACAAACACCATGCAAACAAATAATCCTTCCTTCACTGAGGGCAAGTCTACATGTGTAATTAATGTGCCTGAATTACCTACACAGAAAATTCAAGCTCATTAATGTGCTCCTGAGCACACATCTTCGCACATGCTCCTGTCTAGAGCAAACTGCACCTGACAGAAGCAACCCAGTCCAGGGCTGCTCTTGCCCTACTCTGCCCCCCACCTCCCTGCAGCTGCCAGGGGGAGCTACAGTCTTCCCTGGGTGCCAGCCCAGGGGGCTGGCAGGGGGCACAGGGGCTAGTCTCAATCAAGAGGAGAACTGTGCTGGCTTCAAGGGCAACTGTCTCTCCACCATGTGGGGATCATCCTGTGGTGGGGAGATAGCTGCTCCAGCAGCCAACACAACTCTGTCAGCCACATGGGGACCAGGATCCATCCCAAACCCCACACAGCAGGGAGACAGCTGCACCTGCAGCTGGCACAGCTATCCCGGCCATGTGGGGATCAGGACCCATCCCAATCCCCATGTGGCAGATAGACAGCTGCACCTGCAGCTAGCACAGCTCCCCCCATGTTGGGGCTTAGCCAGGCAGCAGTGGGCCCCAAATTGCTCCCAGTCAGCATCTACATGTGTGCTATGGTGAATTAGCTAATGCGCCATTTATCTAGTACTTGTATGTATTGGTACTAGCAAACAGCATATTAAATTAATTTAATGTGCAGTAAGTCTTGAACATATGTAGACAGTAACACTTTACTGTGCATTAGATTAGTTTAATGCACAGAAAAGCATCTTGTGTAGATGTGCCCTGAGTGAGCCAGCCTGGGTTAGTATTCTTAAATTTACAAAGATGAGCAGATGAAATCCTGATCACATCAAACAAGAGAAAAATGTCTGTGGCTCAGGGCACTGAGGACTGTATTTTCTACTTTTACTACAGCTGCATAACAGAATGAGAATTTCCATCTTTTCTACCTGCAAGACTGTGTTAAGAGTTACCAGCATCTTGGATCTGGGCTCCCACATGGCAAAATCCTTATGCAGCTGCTTCTCTTGTTGCTTCCCATTCAGAAAATAGATAAGTGGGGAACAGATTGAACCCAGACTCTGATTTCTGCAGCCCCTCCCTGCCCCATAAAGCCTTGGATACAAGGTTGAAAGGTAATGCTGGTTCTTGTTAAAGGGCAATGAAGCATATTCCCCCTCTCCCCAACTCCAGTGAAAAATGGTAGTTCTCGAGAAAAAACAACTCAGTGGGCACATCCCACAAGCAAGAATGTGTCTCTCCCTGGGGACAATTAGCACGCCACACTTTGTATTGGCTGCTACTTGTCCCTGGGGAACATCCATGCCATGCTCATTCTGGCACATTGCCCCAGGTGGGGTAGGGGAGGCTGAGGCCAGCAACTGTGCTGGCCCCAGCAGCCTTACCTGGGATCCTGGGGACCTTCAGGAGCTGCAGCTGCAGAGCTCCTGCATCAGGAAGCCTGGCCAGCAGCCAAAGTGTGGCTCCGGAGACCAGTCTCCGGTTTTGGGTGGTGCGCACTGCCACCACATGCACCACCCCATTTTTTTAGGTGTGGTTTTTTTTGACACCGGGATCTTCCATGCTGCAAATCCCCACACTGTAAACTAGCAGCATGGGGAATGCCTGTATGTGTGGCGTGTGCAGCATGTGGTGCTGCAGACAGGTTTGCGGCGCCGCACACCACATGTCCACACTCATCCGGACGCACCCAGTGCAGGTACCTGAAGCACAGTTTCCTGGACCACCACTACAGGCAATGAAGGTTAACACTACCTGTAGTGGAGCCCTGCCTGTCTTTAATACTGTCTGCCCTTAATACTAAAGGGACAATTCAGACCTAGCAAGAGGCTCAAAGTCATACAGCAAGTCAGTGGCAGAGCCAGTATCACAACTCAGAAGTTCCTGGATCCTAACTGTACAGATTCCTAGGATGGAGTTTAGAATAATAATAATATGCATTTCAGAATGATTTTTGAAAATAAATTTAGAGAAAAGGTCCCAAATGTGCGTCCATAACTTTGTCACCATTTCAGCAAAACAGTTCTGCACTACATACAAAAGAGAACAATGGCCATCCTCCTCCCCCACCCTCTTCTTAAATTCTTTGTTACAGCTTGTTTTTATATCCTTCCCATTGAGTTACTGTTTCTGCCACTGACCTCACATAACAACAGCTGTGGGAAGATGCAGCCATAACAACTACTGTATACCTTTGTGGTTTTGATTAGCTTCAACCCCTTTATCTTCACTGTGTGCAAATTTAACTGGTGCAGTAAAGTATCTATCACCAGGCTTTCCCCCCGCCCCCCATGCCCCTCACTAATTACTGTTTTTCTGTCTGAAAGAAATGTCAGCATCAGCAGAGTATAATGAAAAAGAATTAAAAGTAAGCTTGAATCCTCAGCTGCAAAGTGAATTTGGGATATTACAAGGCAAATTGTTCAGAGATGTTACATGAAAGCTATAATCTGATTAAATAATGACAGTTCAGTGTGTATGAAGCAACTGGATTGTAAAAGTGTTATATACTTAAGAAACAGAATTCACGGTCTTGAAAGGCAAAGTAAAGTAAAAAGAAAAAAGCTTGGTTCACCTCATTTGCATGCTTCTCCATATAGTTGAAAGCATACTCATCAGCATCGACCAACAGAAAGTTGTGACCATGGAAACAAACTCTGGCTCCAACAAATAGATCCTGAGCTGTGTAGTACTCAGATGGCTCACTTTTAAAGAGCTCCTGCCCAGGCTTCTTAATGCGACCTCTTTCTAAGAACTTCCCACCTAATATCCCTGTGGGAACAGAATTGGAAATAATCAACTGTGCTTTGCTTGGAAAAAAGAGCTGTTTTGTTTTTAAATAATAGTCTTTGTCCTCGAGTTTCCTGTTTCATAGTGTACTCCATGCTCCTGTTTTTAAAAGAACATCCTATATCAGGGGTCAGCAACCTATGGTTCACAGGATGGATCCAGCCCACAGAACCACTGGATCTAGCCATGGACATGGGGTTTTGGCAGCATTTGGTGGGGAAGGAGCAGGGGGAGGCTTCAACTGTAAGTGCTTTTCCTGTGCCACCACAGAAACAAGCAGTGGTGGCAGTAGCTGGGCCCCAGTGCCCACCAACCCACCTCTGATCCGGGACGTGACATTGCAGCCCACAGTCAGAACAGACTGCCCATCTCTGGTCTATACTACTGCCCAGACCAGTAAGTAAATTGTATAGATTCATGGAATCTATGAAAGACATGTCCTGTCCTCCTCCCCTCTTTTTGTTTTTAAAAAGGAACAGAACTTTTCCTCTTCTCATAGTCCCAATAATCCAGTGCTGGGAAGGACACCTTGACCCTTGAGAAGCAGAAGATGCATGCAATTATCTTGGAACTGTTAACATCAAAAATAAATAAATCCCAATGAAAACTCTCATCCATTATTACTTTTGTAAGCTGGATCATAAACAGCAATTATCTCTTCATGTATAATGATTTTAATCATAGCAATAGAAATGACACATGGTGTGCAAGGGTTCTGCAGGACTGATAAGGAAAGGATTTAATACCGTAAAGCATGTCCAAGAACCAAGCACAAGTGCAAGCAGAGTAGAATGTGTACCACTGCTTGTAAAGTTGAAGCAAATAGCATGTCAAACTTTAAAAGGAAGGGGTTGTCTTTCAATTGATTTAGTATGTTTCTGCCATATGCAGCAGATCTGCATCACATTTACCATGCTCTAGAAAACAGTTAGTCAAACGTTTTGTTTTGTCAAGATAGGTTGCCATGTTAAATGTGCACTGCACCAACTCCAAAGTGCCTGGGGTTCATTTCCTGTTTATATTTGAACTTCCAAACCAAAGGCCAAAAAGCATACTTTTGTAACATTTAATGATGCCTTACATATTATGTAGTGATGTAAGTCCAATAAAAGGCTGATGGGCAGTGTAATAAAAGGCCATTTATAGTCAAAATTATAAGTGAATGTGAAACCCAAACTACTTATTAAACTGGAGTTTGGATCAGATGTCTTTCTTAATTGCTTTACTAACATCATAAAAGTGGAAGACAAAAATACATTAAGGTAATGGCCAGAGTCTAACTTAAAGTCACCATAGCATGAAAATTCAGCGTTAAGGATGGACCCCCTGATTTCAACACATTCCTTTTCACCTCAGTGTTGCAGCACATACAAAACTTTAGATCCTACAGTTTGGACGATGGCTGCATTACTTGAACACAACTGGGTACTGCAAGTTGGAATTTTAATGTTACTGCTAGGTGTTCCCTCACCTTTTGGATTTAAATGAAAAAAAATATTTTCATAATATTTGTCTAACATTTTAATGTATAAAAGTAGTGTAAGGGAAAAAAGAGAGCAAAATAAGGCACCCCACTAGGAGATGGACCTGACAATGAGAGCTGCTGAGCTACGTCAATGGAAATCTACAAACAGCCACCTCAAAACACAAAATAAAACACCAACAAAACACATTCCCATTGAGATTGATCACTGCTTGCAGGTGTTTGTACAGCTGCTTGCTTATTATTATGCAGGATGAAAAATGGGTTACGGTCTCCAGCATAGGGAACTAAAGCTTTACATGTTGCCCTCTTTTCAAAAGTGCCTCACAATGCACAAAATTTTACATTTTAAATACAATTTACAGTATTATTTATAACCTGAGGTACTTCTACCCTGTAACTGTGAGGAGCTGTATGGAGAAAAAATAAGGGATATATAGCTATATATAGCTTTTCCTTCTTCTTATCAAATTCTATCTCCCCTACTTCCTGTCCTCACACTCCTCTAATTCCTGCACCTGTGTGCCCCCTCCTCTTCAATCTGCGGTCTCTACCACCCTTTCCTCTCATTCCTAGTCTTGGTTCTCTTGGCTAGCGCCCTTTTCTTGGCCTTACCACCTACATATATCTCTTCACCTAAAATAAGAAGCTTCCTCAGTATTTCCTACTTTTCATGTATACTTATATCTCTTTAATTGAACATGTGCATCCTTTCTGCAAAACTCAGAAACTTACTTCCTTGTACTCTCTTGCATTTCCAGCTGCTGCCCAAATGCCTGCCTTCCCTTCATACCCTCAATCTGCACCGAAGGCCTTGACTTCCTTCCATTTTCATTCCACATAGGCTCTTCTCAGTGTTTCATCTACTCTTCTATCTTTTCAATTATTGCCTTTGGAGTCTTGCACTTAACTTCCACATGCCCAACTTAGAATTCATAGATTTCTAGGGTCGGAAGGGATCTATTAGATCATCAAGTCCAACCCCCTGCTCTGGGCAGCAAAGATGGCTAGGGTCAAGTAACCCCAGCCAGGTGCTTGTCTAATCTCCTTTTGAACACCCCCAAGGTAGGGGAAAGCATCACCTTCCATGGAAGCCCATTCCATATTTTGTCATCCCTCACCGTAAAGAATTTTTAGAGTGCTCCTGCCATGGATATTCAATTGTTGGAACACCCTCCCCCCCTCAGTGCACTCTAGTTCTAGTTCTTTGGCCCAGAGTCTTTTAGGAACCATACCTGAACCCTCAGGGTGGATCCCCACAAGCATGCACATACAGTTTGTGGTGTGTCAAAGCCATTTAAGTGCTACAAACTGCTCACAGTGCATGTACACCCATGCACTGCTCCGCTGATTGCAGTGGGGCAGGGTTTTTTTTTTACACCGGGAGATCCCGGTATCAAAAAAAAAATGCTGCAAAAAAAGTGGTGTGGTGCACATGGCAGAAGCGTGCACCACCAGAAACCAGAGCCTGGTTGGCCAGAGCTACACTCTGGCTACTGGCCAGGCTCCAAGTAGCTGGTTTGGTGCCACTGCTGCCCTAGGAGGCCCCCAGGACTCCAGGTAAGGCTGCTGGGGCCATCCCAGGTGCTGCCCCCAGCCTCCCCTACCCGGCCTGGGTTCCCTTGTGTAGCAGGGCCCTGGGGGATGTGCCTCTCCTTCAAGAGAGCAAGCAGCCTGAGAGACTGCTTGCAGGTGGCAGAGGAGAGCTAATGAGAGACTCACCTGACCAGGAGAAGGCTCAGGCTGGAGCTGTATAAGCCCAGAGCCTGCACTGGTCAGGTTGTCTCTCCCCAGCCACCATGCAGTGAGGAGCTCCTGGATGCACCATGCAGCAGGGCTCCTGAAGGAACCTGGATTATACTGAATGACTCTGCAGGCCTGGGAAGTGGGCTTTTACAGGTAAGTGGCTTTTGTTTATGTTAGGTCCCTAGAGGGTTGAGGTGTCCGCCAGGAGGTTTGGTGTTATGCTGCTTGTTTAGCCTTGAGCCCTGCATGGCTGGCTCAAGGCCTATTTAGATGGCCAGTAATCCAGGAGCCTTCAGACTGAGAGTGGGGCCCAATAAGGAGTCCAGCAGTCTAGGAAAGGCTGAGATCTGGATCAGATGGTCCATAAGCCTTGAATGGGCTAAACCAGACCAGGGAGTCGGAGAGCCCACAGGAGGAGCTGTGTGCAGGACCAGGGGGTCAGAGAGCCTGGAGGAGGGGATGCTCATGGGGCAAGCAGCCCAAAAGCTCAGAGGGAGACTATGTAGGGGACAAGGGGGTCTGAGGGCCCAAAGGGGGCCGCATGTACAAACATCAAAGAGACAGAACACCCATTAGGCTTGGAGTGTGGTCTAGGGGAGGAAAACAGAGCCATGCAGTGAGCCCTTAAGGCTACGGATGCCTTGGAAGAGCATAGATACAGATGTAGCCCTTAAAGCTACAGGGGCCTGGCAGGAGCACAAGTCAGGCGAGAGGGGCTATAGAGCTTAAGGGTTGAATCCAGGCAACTGAGGATCCAAGAGGGACCCAGGGATATGACAAGTGGACTAAGGCTCACTCTAAGGCCTGTGCACAGCCTCCCTTATCTAATCTATAATAAGAACAAGGCATGGCAATCAAGTAATCAAGGGAAGGCCATAAAAGAGACTGAGCTGGGCAGGGGTCACAGGGCCACCAGGGGCATAATGGCTGCACTTGTGGCTCGAACCTGCTACACCTTGCCACCTACCAGAGTGCATGTGCAGGGGCATGCCCCAAGGACAAATAGCAGTGGTGCAAATATACGTGTTGCTGCTATTTGTCCCACAGGAAACATGCACGCCCCTTCATGTGCATGCTCATGGGGAAACATCCTCAGTATCCTCAGGCACAAAGAGAGCTGCAATCCTAAACCCCTTTCATATCCTTCACCAGCACAGAAACCATGTGTTATCAGACACCATATGCAGAAGGATACAGGTGCAGGTCATGGAATATACAGTACATTACAAAGGGTCAATAACTGTAAGGCAAGAGTATGGACAGGTGTTTAATCTGAGTGCCAAGAATTTCCAAAGCCCCCACAAAATGTGGTGAGAATGGTACCATATCACCTCAAAGGCAAGCTCTCCAGCCCGAGAGGCAATAGAAGGCTGCTGCTTGCATCCCTCTCCCCAAAGTGAATCCAATTATTGACAGCTTGTACTCTCCTCTGCCAGGGAAGGGGGCAGGCTGGCAATGATCTACTAGCAGCTGCTGAAAAGCAGCAAATGCCCAGGTCAGCACCTCCTTCCTCCTCTCCCCTCACACGCATACACACACACACACTGCAGAGGTCAAAGAGATGGCAGAAGAAAAGAGAACTGCTCTCCTCATCTCTGCCAGTCCCAGGCATACCCCACACCCCCTGAGCAGTCCCTGGTAGGTCCAGGACTGCTTAAGTAGTTCCAGCAGCAAGATCCCTTCAGGGATGCTTGACAGCTCACCACCGGGTGTACCATCAGGGAACCAGTTGTTCTCCCTCCTTCCCTACCCC